CGGGCCCGGCCCGCGGAGCCCGGCTGAAGTTTGCCGGCCGCTCGCCTCCAAATCGCGCAGTGGGCCGGGCCCGCGCGGCGAACTGAGCCGGGCGCGCCCCTCCCGCGGAGACGCCAAACAAACACTTCCTCGCCAGCTGTGGGCAGAAGGAAAAGCTCGTGGGATCTTCTCCCTGGGATCAGCGATCCGACCCCAAGGCCGAAGTTCCTGTCAGACGTATCTTTTTTCACTCCCGGTGGGAGCTCCATTTAAAAGCAAGGCTGTGCGTTATAGACACGTTAAAGTAAGCTGTAGCTAATTTTAGAGTACTTACTGTAATTCTCAGGATGCGGTTACAAGCGAGGATCATGAGATTTTAGAGACTCAGAGGGCATTTTAAAACAACTAAAACAAAGCTTAACCTGCTATCCTAAGTCAACTAACCAGGTTAATTAAGGTTGATTAGATGGTGCTTAACCAAGTGTATCAGGTCTTGCAAGGGGCTATATTTTCTTATAGCAACTTTCTGCAAACTGGGTTGCTCTTTTAATAAAAGAAAACAAATACTAAAAGCTGGAGAAACTGTCCAGTAAGCGGGTTAAATATAGACTAATAGAGAATGTCATTAGAATTGACAGGTCAGAAAAAGCAAAATGACGTGCATCGTATTCTTAGTGCTTTGTCCTAGCACAACCCAAACTCCATTTTAACCTTTGCGTTAGGAGATATCTATGCCAACTCAGAAGCAGTTCAGGTGCTCTTGTAACTTGTCCTGGCTGCGCTCTGTAAATCTACTTGGACTCTTTGTGGATTTAAAGGTGGGGTGCAGGGGCGCCTGGGTGGTTCAGACGTTAAGCGTCTGCCTTCGGCTCAGGTCATGGTCCTAGGGTCCTGGGATCGAGCCCCGCGTCGGGCTCCCTGCTCGGCGGGAAGCCTGCTTCTCCCTTTCCCACTCCCCATGCTTGTGTTCCTTCTCTCGCCATGTCTCTCTCTGTCAAATAAATAAATAAAATCTTTAAAAAAATAAATAAAGGTGGGGTGCAGAGAGTCTTTGTTAATATGGAATTTGGATTGCCGGTATGACAGACAGATCCTAGCTGGCAGTTCCAAGATTTGAGCAATCAATATCAAATTGGAATCGGCGGATCAGAGTCTTCCCTGTATCCGAAGTATTCCCTGTTTGGGGAAATACTTAGGACAACTACTTTAGCTGCATTATTGTTGCAGTTCTGTAAGTGGCATCCAGCAGGCTTAAAAGAAAATTACAAATCGCCAAACACATGCTGTCTATCCCCTTTCTATGCTTCAATTTTCTCCATGCCACTTACCACTATAATATACCCTCTATTTCACTCATTTACTTTGCCCATCTTCCCCAACCACAGTGTAAGCTCTGTGAGGTCAGGGATTTTTCCTTTGTCCATTACTGTATCCCTGGCAGCCAGAAAGGACAGTGCCTAGTGGTTCAGCATATGTGTTGAATGAGTGACTGCCTGCCTTTCTTCCCCAGCAGGTTGGACGTTAGATGATTGGCTCTGTTATATTTCATTTCAGATGCTCAGTTATCCCTGATTGAGAAGAGCACTGGGCCTGCTTTCTCCTTCCAGCTTTTACTGTTATAGCTGTGAGCTGTTGGCAGATGACTTACTCTTGACTTCAGCTCACTAGTCTGATAAACGAGAGAGAAAATGTGTCTTTGTCTCATTTAATCTTTGACCTGTGCAGGAATGTGAATAGTGCTTTGAACTCTTCCAGGTCGGCACACAAGTCTACAAAGGTAGTGGTATTTACTGCTCTAGCTGCTGCATTAGGAGAGGTGTGGTATCCACTTGTGACGTGGTGGCAAATAATGATAATATTTCGTAGTGTCAAATGTTACTTATTTATAATAGCAGTAATTTAGGTGTTATTAATTTAGGTGTTATTAATCAAGGTGGCCAAGCTGAAAGGGACTTCAGATCTTTTCTGGTCTAACTCTGTTACTCTTCAAATAAGGAAATGGGACTCAGTGGGCCTTAGTGATTTTATTATGATGAAGTTCCTAGTACTTAGTGGGTGAACTAAGATTAGACTCGAAGTTAATGACACTTCATCTCCTACTCTAACTATACCAAGTTACAACATTAACTCATAACTATTCTTTGTGTAAGCTCTACTGCTTATTGATTCACAATATGTTATAATTTAAATGCTTATCAAGTACTTTTACATACTGTCTCATTTTGATTTTCACTTCCATCTTGTTTAGTAGGTAGGACAGATGTTTTTGACATTTTATAGATAAATATGAATCAGACCATGTGTTTTTGTCAGTGACATTATTTTAAGTTTATTTGACTGTTGAAGTGCTAGAATGTTCTTGGTTGTCTTTTAAAATGGTCAATCTCAAGACTTTTTCAAAGCAATTTGACCAATCTGTATTACTACTTTGAAATAAACTGTTTAGTTAACTTTTGACACCTATGATTTTGGGCTTCTATAATGTGTCTGTTTTGTTTGAAAGGAACTTTAAAGAATTATGTTGAAACAAAATGAATTTGCATGTTCTAGCACTTGATGTTTCTTACTTTCTCTTTTGAAGCTTAAGCATTTGGATCTGTGATGTCATTCATACATGGATTGAGTGTTCAAAAGTCTGGTAGTCTCTGACATTTTATAAAAATTTTAGTTTTGTTTATTATCTTTGGTTAGCCTAGTTTAAGTAACTATCCTAAGCAATGTAAAGTTGTGTGGTTTAGAAACAATGTTATATATTGCTTTTGAATTGGTTCCCAACAGAGGGAACCAATTCAGCTTTGTCAGAGTAGGAATTAAAGCAACTCATTTGGCATACTTTCTACTATTTTAATATAGAAAAGTCTTTTAACTTAACTTATTGGTTTAATCATTTCCTGTGCTTTATCTCTGGTTTAGCATTTATTTTTCCTCCCACTACTCTTAGCTGTCATACACTAGGAAGACTTTCAGTATAAAAGGAAAAAAACAAAACTCGGCTTTAGCAGTAGAACCCTAATGATAACCTGAGAAGAGGTTGTATAGAGTATGTGTCAAGCAGCGTTAGGATACAGATGCTACTGGAAGGCAGGCAGGACCTTCCACAGTCCATCAGTAAGCCCAGTAAGTGGGATTCTGCTTTCCCAGTATGCCCTCTTCGCAGCTCCCTGAAGGACGTTTTTTCCTTCAGTTTGTTGGGAAAACTAAATCTAAATGTGGCTGACGGGGACGCCTGGGTGGCTCAGTCGGTTAAGCGGCTGCCTTCGGCCGGGTCATGATCCCGGGGTCCTGGGATCGAGTCCCACACCGAGCTCCTTGCTCAGCAGGGAGCCTGCTTCTCCCTCTCTCTCCCTCTGCTTATGCTCTCTCTGTCAAATAAATAAAATCTTTAAAAAAAAATGTGGCTGACGACCTTTAAGGCAAAATTGAATTCGTTGGTATAACGACCCACAGAATCTTTCCTTTCTCAGCAACCCTGAGACCTTCTGGGAAAGGTTCCCTGAGGCTTATAGGAAATTTCCCTTTCTCTTGAATATTGCAGAGTTTGCTCTGCTTCATGTCTGAGGCTCTTCTGATTCTGGCACAATCGCATTGATCTGATAGAGAGTTCAGACTCTTTTCTCTTATGAGCTGTGTTTCTTTGGGAGTAATGTAGTTGAAAAGGATTTGAAAACGAACCACTGTATGATTCTTCAGGGACAGGTGTAGGTTCCTGTCTTCTATTCACTTTTTTTTGGTGGTGGGGGGTGCTATTTATTTATGACAGATATTCTACATCCGTGATCCTCTCCAGTCAGAATTTCTTTAAAATGTTGCCATTGGCCTTGGCCAGTCAGAGGATAGAGTCCTCTGACTCACCCACCCTGCAAATGGCCCCAAAGATAGCATAGGTTTTAAACTGGCTGTTGAGCCTGCCATTCACCTTGTCAGCCTCAGCCAAGTTCACGTGGTCCTTGGTGCCGATGATGCAGAGGAGTATCTCCACAGCACGTGCAGGTGCACAAACTTGCCTGTGTCCTTCTGCACGTCGAGGGCATGTCTGCTGCCACCGCCATGATCATGGGCCCAGAAGAGCCTCTGTTCACTCTTGAGAATTTCGTTTTTTGGAGGGTAGCTGTTGGAACGTTAATTTGTTTAGCTTTTCGTCCTGGAGAGTAAAGGGAAGAAAGATCCTCAAGATTTTTAGAACCCTTGAGTCAGCCAATGGTAAGAATGGCAGTTTCTCCCCCTTGTTTTTCAGGGAAAGCAGGTCCTGTGAGGGTGGAGTGGAGACATTGGGCCCAGAAGCCAGTCTAGAGCATCTTGTACTGCTTTTCTGGGACTTGGTTTCCTCATTTGCGAAGTGAGGTTGGCCTGGCCACATGAACGGCAAATCCCCTTTAAGTGTGAATTGTGTGGCTCCGTGCTATTTTTGTTTTACTTTGTGTATATGTTGTGGAGAGGGGGTCTGTTTCTGTTCTTACAGCTTTATTGTATCCTTTAAAGTTTTGTTGCGCATTGACATTAAAGCGTTTCCTTTGCCCTCTCATACAGGATTTGGTTGGGTATTCTGCTATATAAACCCA